CCTCTTCCTCCTCCTCCTCCTCCTCCTCCTCCTCCTCCTCCCCCTCCCTCTACAATTACACAATATGAAAATACTCTCCCACTTCCCCTGATGGCGTCCCGAAGATATCCGACACCCCCCCGCGTATGTTTTTTTACACACAGGATTCCCGGGAAACGGGTTTTCGCTGGTGTTTTTTCAAAATGCTGCTCTCGCTGAGGCGCCGGCCTCATTTCTGCTCCCGAATCGTTCCGAATCGTGCTCCCGCTGCAGCGTGGGCCTCATTTTCGGATCGGTGTTTGGCCTCCGTCGTTCAGGATGGCGTTCTCGCCCCAGCGCGGGCCTCTTTCTCGCGCGCCCATCCGCCCGCCACCACCGCGCCGCACCACCAGCACCAGCACCAGCACCAGCACCAGCACCAGCACCAGCACCAGCCAGCACAGCACCAGCACCAGCACCAGCACCAGCACCAGCACCAGCACCAGCACCAGCACCAGCACCAGCACCAGCACCAGCACCAGCACCAGCACCACACCACCAACCACACACGCACACACGCACGCACGCACGCACGCACGCGCACCACCACCCACTACGCACGCGCGCGCGGAGCCACAAGTCCGCTACGACACGCGTCCGCGGATAGAGAAAATCAGCGCCATGGTAAGGGATGGGAGGGAGGGGTAGGACGTCAGATATGACGCGAGCGCACCTAGCTTGCCCCCCTCCCCCTCCTCCTCCTCCTCCTCCTCCTCCTCCTCCTCCTCCTCCTCCTCCTCCTCCCCTCCTCCTCCTCCTCCTCCTCCTCCTCCTCCTCCTCCCTCCTCCCCCTCCCCTCCTCTCCCCTCCCCTCCTCCTCCTCCTCCTCCTCCTCCTCCTCCTCCTCCTCCTCCTCCCTCGTCCCTTTACCTCCTCCTTCATCTCCTCCGCCGCCCTCTCCCTCCGCCTCGCTCCACCCGCCGCCTCCTCCCCCCCTGGGCCCGCCGGCGCCCGACGCCCTGCCTCCTCTCCGTCCCTCCTGCCCCCTCACGGTGTGAAGGGGCCCTGGGACACGCACATGATAGAGGAAAAGGAACTATGCACATGCACCGATTCTGGCCAGGCCCATCCTGAGCCCAGGATCGGTGCATACGCCCTCCCACCTTGGCCAGGAAGGCATATGCACCGATCCTGGGTCAAGGATGGGCCTTGCCAGGATCGGTGCATGTGCATAGTTCTCTTCGCCCGACATGAACATTGGCACATATCCTCCTCATATTCCTCCTATTTTCTGGACGTCCGTCTTCCCATATTTTCTTCCCATATGGAAAGTTTCGCCCCATCTTTCCTCATACTTTCTGGACGCCCGTCTTCCCCACCCCCTTCCCACACGTTCCCGCACTTTCCCGGGGATCGACGATTGAACGTGCCTGTGTGTTTGTTTTCCCCTCCTGAGAAGACCTCGGGCGGAACAGGGCGGCTCGAGAAGCAAGCAGCTGAACCAGCGGCAGCAGGCGGATCGGTGCGGATCGGAAAAGGAATGACGACGTCCTGCTGCGCAGCTGCAGGGCGAGTGAAGGGGGGGGGACGAGCGGGGCACGCGATCGAGACACCGAAGTGCAATAAAGTCTCGCAGAGCGAGTACACTCGAACAGTGAGGCACGCCAGAAGACCCACCGGGCGCCCGTCAAGGAAACAATGGCAGCAGAGTTGGTGGATGACTCACCAGCCTCCTACAGTCAACACAGGTAATACGGACGCACGATAAGGATGCCCGGGCCTTGGAAGGCCATGCCGACACTTTGCGAGCGCGGCGCGGCCAGCGAAAGCGGCCAAGGATGGACCGAAGGGGAATGATGCAAGGGTAACCTTGGAAAGTTGCTCATCCTCAATATGCTGGTTGACTGTAGCAGTAAAGTTGGTGGATGACTCACCAGCGCTTTTACGTAGTACAGTCATACAAATCATCAAACAATGAAACATCAAATGATACAAAATGCCAGAAGTATCGTCCCAAGACTATTGTGTTGAAAATCTTTCAACCTTCCTCCTGTAGAAGGACGTGCCCGACTTCACCTCACCGTCGGTTTCGACTGTAGTTGAACAGGGACCGACCGTTCCGGCAATCCTACAGGCCCTACCACGAACAGTTCCCAGAACCCAAACATGTTCCAGGAACAAAAACAAAATTATCAGAACATAAGCCCGATGCGCTAAAACAGGACAGTCTCAGCCAGACATGTTCTAAGAACGTTTCGTGCCAGACCACAACAAGTTCTTAGAATAATGCTTGGTGGGGCTACAGTTATGTCGGGCCTGTCCCCCTACAGGGGGATTTTGGGCGAAAAATTGAGGATACTCACAAAATACACCAAACATATCCAAAAATGGTCCAACAGTCGTCCCCAGACTATCTCCTGATTATTATGGAATCTTCCTCCTGTGGAGGGACACGCCCGACTCGAGCCTACAGGCGAGCCAGGACCATCGTCCCCAGACTATGCTCTGACTCTCCTGGAACCTTCCTCCTGTAAAAGGAGGGACGGGCCCGACCTGAGCCCACAGGCGAGCCAGGACGCTCCGCTACTGCCTGACGCGGTGCGCGCGTGCCGAGCTCACCCCACAAGGGAGGGCGCCGCCTGCGCTCCCGCGTACTCCGCGTAGAAGCCGAGGACCTCTCCGGCGCCGGCCCCGGCCGGCGCGGCCCCCCGGGCCGCTCCCGGGCCAGACGAGGACGAACTCGCACCGCGGTGCTCCCCACGGGAGGCACACAGACACGCTTATACGACATGTCCTCCTCGGAGGCGCGCGTCCGACCCGAACATGCAGTGCACCCGTCTTGCGGTATCTCGTTTCCCGAGCGGTGTGGCCAGAAAGCGCCCGCCACGAGGCATCTACTATGGGATTTCTCGGTGCGCGCGTCGACCCTGGGGGGGCGACGCACATATAGTAGCAGTGTGTTGGGGTCACGCCGACTCCACGCACTCCACACTTAGGGAGCCCACAAAGGGCGTACGCGCCCAACCATGTACATGAACACGGCCCCTTGATCCGTGAGACCCTTGACCCGTGAGACCCGAACATTCGCGCAATGCGAACTGTCGAAGCCAGCGCGGATTCATGTACGTGTACGTCCTTCTCTCACTCCTGAACACTGGGCTTAGGTCGGGCATGTCCCCCTACAAGCCGATTTTGGACGAAAACCCGAAAATGCTGACAAAAAGCTCCCAAATAGCCAACACATAATTTAAACATCGTCCCCATACTATTGCTTCACGATGTTTGACTTTCCCTCCTGTAGAGGGACAGGCCCGACTTAACACTGGGTCGGACGGCCATGAGCTGTACGACATCGCATGCCATGGACCCGCGCGCAGGTTCATGATCCATCCCTCCCCCTCTCTCTCCCCCTGTCCCTCTCCCCCTCTCTCTCTCTCTCTCTCCGTCGCTCTCATCTCTATCTGTTCCTCCCTCTCTCTATATATGTATATCCATCCTCTCTCTCTCTCTTTCTCTCTCTCTCTCTCTTCCTCTCTACCCATCTCCGTGTGTCTCTCTGTCTCTATTCCTGTCTCCCTGTCCCTCGCTCTCCTCTTTCTTCCTCCGTTTTTTTGTCAATCTATATCTATCGCTCTCCTTCTCGGCCTCTTTCTCTGTCTCTCTCTCTCTCGGCAGGCCGATGCCAATGCCGGCAGACCGCCCGTAGAGCCGCCCTCTTGCGCGCCATCCTCAGCTCACCACCACCTCGTCAGCAGGGCCCGGGGCTCGTGATTTGGCCGAGGGGCGAGGAGGGTGGAGGAAGAACACGTGAGGAAGGCGGAGGAGAAAGGAGAGAGGATGGGAGGCGGGGGGGAGGGGTGTGGGGGAAGATAGCGAAGAGAGGAGGGAGAACGAAGGAGGGAGGGAGGGAGGGAGGGTGCAGAAAGGAGAGAAGGGTGGGTGGTTGATACGGACAGCAAGGAGGAGGATCAGCAAAAGCAGACGTGACATGAATCCTTAACTCTGAGCCTCAATTATGCCCCATACGTGGGTCCGTTTCTCGCTCTTCACTCACTGGTGCAAGAACCACGCAAGCTACGTGCGCACTCAAATTCCAATCGACTCCCAAAACGGTTTTAGTACGAAGGCTTGGGACCAACTCCGTGGTACGCCATCGAGGTGGCGCCCACTTACCGTTGTCTGATCTTCGGGGGGGTCCTGCGAGGCTGAAGGAAGGGCCCGTGACGTATAGTGCTGGCTCCCAGTGGACACGCCTCGATCTCATGAGCCAGCTGGGACGCTGCGAAGACGTTCCTGTCTTCTCTTCAGCCACTGAAGGGCTCCTGCAGCTGGTTTGGTGGACTCAGCTGCAGTGGCCTGAACTGCCGCGGCACACGTGGCCACGCAGCCTAGAAAGGTGGCGCGGGGAGGCCTTTCCTTCCTCCGAACCACAATGCTGTCGGACATGGATTGGACAGGACAACGAGAGAGGACACAGGACTCTTCTGACGGCAGCGTGGCCCCAGAACACTCAATGACATGCGGGTTGCCTAGGTCTGCCCGCCCCGAAGAGCTGGCGACCCAAGTCCTTGGGAGAGCACGGCCGTACCGTGCCGCCCAAGATCGGCACGGGTGGCTCAAGCCCCTGCATCGGGGAGAAACCTGCGCTGCAGGCCTCGGACAAAGATAGCGAGCGCGCATGCCACATGTTCAAAGTTGGCGGTGGGTCTGATGAATTGCACTTCCACCCCAGTCTCCCCCGCGCGTGCCAACTCTCAATTTGGGGGAGCGGGGCAATGTCCACTGACCCATACCGCCCTCCCCCGCGACTCCCCCCCTCCACCGTTCACCAATGTTGCCGGGCAAGCGTCGCTTCGCACCAACACGGACTTGCCTTGGAAGGCCAGCCGTGCTTCGGGGACCTTCTGACCCGGGTCAATCCAGACCCGGGTCAGCAGGAAACCAAAAACTGCAACGCAGGAAAAAAAAACTGCAACGCAGATCCTCGCAAACCCGGGTCAGCCAATACGCGCGGCCGCCTCGCGGCCACGAGCGGCTCCCTGACCCGGGTCAGCCCGAGGGGGTCTTCGCAGGATCCTGCAGGATCTGGCGCCCTGGCTGACCCCCGTTTGCATTGACCCCCGTCTCGAGGCTCCCGACGTGCTGATATTCTGGCAATGCCGGCCGCCGCGGCGATCGGCGTGCTGCGACTGGCTCCAGGTGGCGGGAGCGCAGCCTTGACCGGGTACCCCGCCCCGCGCTCCGTAGGATCCCCCCCGTGCCCTCCCCCCCATCCCCTTGGGCGTGGCTTAGTGGGGGGGTCATCAATGGGGGGGTCAGAAACGGTCCCCTTTCGTGCCCCTTTCGGGCCCCTCTGGAGCCCCAGGGGGCTCGTTTAGGTACCGTTTAGGTACCTTTTCGGACCACCCGCGACATCCCCCCATTTATGACCCCTCCATTACGCAACGCCCAATCCCCCTCCCATGGGGTAAAGGCCGGAAGCTCCTGCGCACTGGGGCGCGCGCGTGGGATTCTCCCTCGAGGAAGCGATGACTCTGTCCAGTGACGGTGAAAGATGCCGTTGGCGCCACACTTGGCCCTCGAGACGGCGCGAGTTTACCTCCCAATGGCTTTTGAAGAATTTGGGCGCGCTCCTCTTCGCGAGCACGCACACGTCCAAAACGGCCCAAGAACCCGTCTGGATAGCCCGGGAGGCCCTCACGACGGCCCCAAAGACAGCCTAGAAGGGTCCCCTAAGTTCAGGGCGGCCCCCGAGGAGCCACGACGTTGCCACAAGGGCTCCAACAAGGCCTCAGGGGGTTTCGGAGAGGAAGTCTAAGACCGCATTTCCATCTGAATGGCCCTTTGATGAGCCCCCCCCCCAATCCTCTGGGCGTCCTCTGGGCCCGCCCTGGAAGCCTTCCAGAACCCGGGGAGCCTCCCAGCCTCGGATGAAGTCTTGGGCCGTCTGGCGACCTCGCGGGCGTTCTGCGGCCCGAGGCGGGGAGAACTCCACAATCCTTTCAAAGGAACATGAATCGTCGCCAGATGACCCCGCGGAGGTCATGTTGGAGTGATCATGGGACGTATTGGAAGCTCTTGGTGCCTCTTGAAGCCTCTGAGAGCTAACTTCTGTGGGGCAATCTTGGGCCATCTCTGCGGCCGCTGGCGGGCGTCCGCTGGGGCCGTCAAGGAGGAGGGGGGGGAAGAGCGACTGAAACCACGAAGTCATTCAAGACAACAAAGCTCGCGAGTTCAGTCGCCCCGATCATGGAGCAAGCGCTTAACCAACGGCGAGCGCGGCACAACCTCCTCGCTCCGGGTCCAGAGACTGGCTTCATGGATGTCGGATGCTGCTCGTACAGCCAAAGCATTGCCAGAAGAAATATTGGACACGGAGCGAAGCCCTTTTTGGTGATACGTTGCTCCACGCATGCACGAGGAGGAGAGCCAGAGGAGGACCCATGGAAAGACCTAAGGCACATATCATCGAGACCCTTCCGAAACCGAAGCAGGCCTCATCCAAGACGCTGACTGGGAAGCGGGAGGAGAACAAGGAGTAGGACAACGACGAAAAAGGTATCCGACGCTGCCCATCAAGCGCTATCATGTCGGCCTCCTGGCCCCACTCGGGGATGTACAGGCCTCCCTTTGGTAAAACGTGGTTCAGTGAAAACGACCCGAGGCCCAAGCCTGGCGGGCGCAAGCCTGGAAAACAACGGCCGCGGCGCCCTCTCGAGAACCGAAAACGGACAACTCACTAATCGACGTGGCACTATTGGGGGTTCTGTCCACCCCCGACCCACATCGCCGACACGGCCAGGAAGGGGATTCGGGCGGGCGGATGCGGACGCGGGCCTTCCACGTCGGTGTGCTGCAGCATGGCCCTGTGCGGGGACGGTGATGAGGAGTAGGGCAAAAGGACAGGAGGAGGAGGAGGAGGAGGAGGAGGAGGAGGAGGAGGAGGAGGAGGAGGAGGAGGACGGAGGAGGAGGAGGAGGAGGAGGAGGACGGACGATGGAGGCAGAGGACGGAGGACGCATGAAGAGGAGCAGGAGGGAGACCATGACAATACAAATGAACAGAACACGGCGAATAATCGAGAAGGACGGAGGAGGCCGGAGGACATGAAGAAAAAAGGAGAAGAACGTAGGACAGACGAGGTGGACGGAGGAGGAGAAGCAACAGCAGGACGGAGGTTTGGTGTGTGGGTGTGGGTGTGCTTGTGTGTTTGTGTGTGTGTGTGTTGCTTGCTGCGTGCTGTGTGCTATGTAATGTGTAATGATTGGTGTGTGTGTTGTGTGGTGGGTGTGTATTGTCTTGTGTGATGTAGCGTGTTGTGTGTTGCGTGTTGTGTCTCCTTCGTTGCGTGTTGCGTGTGGTGTGATGTGGATTGTGTCCTGTGTATTGTGTGTTGTTTGGTGTGTGGTGCGTGTCGTGTCGTGTGATGTGTCTAGTTTGCTGCGTGCTGTGTGTTGTGGTGTGTTTTGTGTGTGTGTGTGTGTTGTACATTGTGTGCTGCCTTGCGTGATGCGGGTTGCGTGTTGTGTGTGCGTTTGTGACGTGTTGGGTGTTGTGTGTTGCGTGCTGCGTGTTGCGCATTGCGCGTTGCATGTTGCATGTTGCGCGCGCGCGCGTGTGTGTGTGTGTGTGTGTGTGTGTGTGTGTGCGTGTGCGCGTGCGTGTGCGTGTTTGCGTGAGCGTGTGCGTGAGCGTGTGCGTGTGTGTGTGTGTGTGTGTGTGTGTGTGTTTGTCCTGCGTTTTCCGCCCTCCGACAAAAACTGCCCAAACGACAAAAAAGTGTGGCCGGCTGCAGTGCCTGCCCCCGGCGGGCGCCCCGTCCCCACCCCCGTTGACCGCCCCCGCCCCCCCTTCCTTGGACCCTTGTGCGGCGCCCCCCGGGCGCCCGCCCGAGCGGAGTGGCGGAATCTCGCGGCGGCGCTGCTGATAAGGCAGAACCGGCATCGACGTATTGCGATTGTGATCACGTCCGACCTGCGGAGTACCAACACGATGCGATATTCGCGACGCCTGGGCCGCAGATGATCCACGATCATCTGCATGCACCGTGAAAGGTACAGCATGAAGTAGAGAAAGAGAGAGAGAGGGAGATACGAACAACGGTGCGGGGGACATGTTCGCCAACAAGCTCCTGGGCGTGTCGAAGCGCCGTATAGTTCCAAGCGCTGCCTGGTAGAATCTGGCAGTCTTCTACGCAAAGTCCTTCGGGTCCTCTTGGAAGTCTCTGGGGAGCTCTGGGTGCGGGCCTCCAAAATGACTCCCGAAGAAGATCCCGACACCACCAGGATACCATCCGAAACGGCCAGGGTGGCCCAAAATCGGGCACCAGGCTAGTTCAAGGGATCGGCGGATGTGGCGTAAGCTTATTCGAGTAAGGGATTGACTAAAGAATTGATTTACCCCAACCTTGACTTTCGCGCCGAATTTACGAGAGAAGTACATATCATGTTCGTAGATCTACGGGTTATGTTACGTACTGTCGTAGACTCGACGAGCAGATCAATTCCGGGGTTCGTCGATGCTGTGGCCGATCCTCCAGTCGACTTATGGAATCTTCCACGCAGTGGCGCACGCACTCCCCCGAACCCTCCGAAGCGTTCCCGGGCGACCCGTCCCAGCCACCGCAGCCGGCGGACCAGCACTGCCTCAGGATGCAGAGCAGCCCCCAACAGTAGGTCGGGCATGTCCTCCTACAAGGGGACTTTGGAGGAAACACGAATCAATTTGTTTTGAGCTCGACGCCCGCACAACCTTGGTGAAGAAAACACAGCAGCGGCGGCTGGGAAACCACTGCTGGCAGTGAGGGAGGCCTCACTGACCGAAAGAGTACCTCCAGCAACTCCATGGGCTAGGAGGCGCTGGCCACACGACGGGCGACCGCCCCGTGGCCAGCGCAAGAGAACAAAGAGTCCAGCGCCTCAGCAGGGCATGCGGTCGGGGAGGGGAATTCCTCCCCCTGACCTGCCACGCAACCTGTGCAGAAAGGTTGGCGGCCCCCTGAGCAGCAGTCACCGCAGGGGAGACATCACCCCACGGCGGTAATATTCGGACATGGTCAAAACTCGTCCAAAATCGTTCTCAGGCGATTTGTTTGACTATGGTTTTGAGTTTTCCTCCTGTAGAGGGGCATGCCCGACTTACGCCTAAGCAGCGCCCAGCAGGTCCCAAGAGGACTCGGCCTCCGAGGGCCGAAGAGGGCCCACGGCTCCAGGGGGCTTCTAGAGAGCCCAAACTATAGCCGAAGACGGGAGGCCCCAAGACGGCCCCAGAGGGTCCCAAGGCGGCCCGCGGCTGCCCTAAGAGGTCCCCCAGAGGACCCAGATGGCCCCAAGACGGCCCCAGGAGGGCCCCAAGACAGCCGGAGAGGCCCCAGAGGACCCCCAAGACTGCCGCACGGGAGCCGAACACGGCACCAAGGCGGCCCAAGTTAAGCCCCCTGATAGCCCCTCGCGAAGTGAAGATGAGAGGTGACACATGTGAGGGCCTTCTGGGCGGTGCTCGAAGGGTCGCCGCACAGAGTGCATCGCTGGCACGGGGGCGGATTTGCGGCAGGCATCTGGATGCAGAGCAGCAACACAGATATCGAACAAATTGGGAGAAGGCAGAGGGACTATGGAACGAACCACTCACTTACAACTCCAGCCTCCCCTTGCCTCACTTGCCACCCATGCCGTTGTGCATCCAGCTTCACCCTGGCCTTCCTTTCATCCACCACGAGTTGCTCTGCGGCGTACGCCCCCCTCGCCCCGCTCTCTCTCTCTCTCTGCCTTTGCGGATTGCTTCTCTCTCCCTCCCCTTTCTTCCCTCCCTCTCTCTCTCTCTTTCCTCCACTGCCTTGCTTTCTCTCTCGTCCCTAGGGGAGCGAAACATTACATAAACACAAAAACTCAGAGGTCCGCGCGGATTTCTTGGATCCGCGCTGGACCCTCCTCCCTGGCGCGCGGAGCGCGCCAGGGGCGGCGCCGGAAGCGCCGTCAAGGGGCCCCAGCGCGGATCCGAGAAATCCGCGCGGACCTCCGAGTTATTGCGTTCATGTCCTTGTCCGTTCCCCTCCTAGAGGCCTCCCGGATGGGGCCGGAGCAGATGGGGTCGAAGGGTCGCGCCGCATCGCCAATGCGTCGGCGGTGCATCGGCGACGTCGGCGCGGGGGAACTCGGGCTCCGCGTCGAGCCGCATCGGCGATGCGGCGCCGTCCTCCGGCCCCCCCTGCTCCAGCCCCCCCTTGGGCGGCCTAGCCCCCCCCCCCTAAGGGGGGGGGGGGGGGCGCCCGCGGGCCCTGCCCGAGGCGGGGCGTCGTCGTCGTCGTCGGCGTCGTCGTCTGTCTCTCTCTCTCTCTCTCCCTCCTCCCCCCCTCGCCCCCCCCCTCCATCCCCTATTCCTTCCCTCCCTCCCTCGTCTCCCTCCCTCTCTCTCTCTCTCCCTCTCTCTCTCCCTCTCTCCCTCTCCCTCTCCCTCTCCCTCTCCCTCTCCCTCTCTCTCGCTCTCTCTCCCCCTCTCTCGCACGCCCCCTCTGTGTCCCCGGGCGGCGGCCTCTGCGGCGCCAGCGCGGCCAGCGCCGCCAGCCCCACGGCCAGGGCGAGGGCCCTCCGCGCGCCGCGGGGCGAGGGGCGGGCCGCCCGCCCCGTCTCCCCTCCCTGCCGGAGCCCGCGCTCCCTCCCAGATCCCCCTCGTCGGCGTCGGAGGAGGAGGAGTTGGAGGAGCAGGAGCACGACCAGGAGCAGGAGTAGGAGTAGGAGGAGGAGGAGGACGAGGAGGAGTTGGAGTAGGAGTAGGAGCAGGAGCAGGAGTAGGAGCAGGAGTGGGAGGAGTAGAAGTATGAGTAGGAGGAGAAGGAGGAGGAGGAGGAGTAGGAGAAGGAGTAGGAGTAGTAGGAGGACGAGGAGGAGGAGGACCTCCCCATCCTCACTCCTCCCCCGTCCTACCCGTGGCAGTGGTGGACCATCGGCCCATCATACCCTGTCCCCCCGTTCCTTCCGTGCCGTCCCCCTCTTCTCCATGGCTCCTGTCAGCTGGCGGGGTCGGGGTCATTCCAACGCCCACCTCCAACATCCGAGAGGACAACGGCTGGGTCGGGGTCTGCAACGAAACGCCAGCAAGCTTCTGGCTTTGGACTGTGAGGCGTTTGATATAGTTACACGATCTGCGAGGTAAAAGAGGAGAAGAGGATGTACTGGGGAGAAACGAATTGGGCTTGGCGGTAGGCTTGAGGCTACATGGTGGCACATTGCATATGTCCCTCCCTGCACCTTTCCGACACCCAGCGAATAGAGGTTGGCTCCAAACGAAAGAGGCGACGAAAGGAAGGATTGCACGGAAAAGGTGGGGCATGGGAGTGCACTGGGTATACTCAAGAGAAACAACTGCATGCAAACATAAGCAACATTGACCAAACGCACAACCCTTTCAACACTTGAACAGCGGCGCTGGCTCTCCGTGTTCCGGCGAAGCCGATCTGGTTTTCCTTTCGCGCCGTATGTGCGTACTGTTCTTGCTCGTGGTACCCATCCAAAAACAATGCATCCGATTCCGATGTCATACCCGTCGTCGTCGTCGCCGCCACCGTTGTTGCACTCGGCAATGTTGTCGCCATTGCCTGCGCTGCTGCTGGCGTCGCCGCCCCTGCTGCGACTGCTGCACCTGTGAGGGGCAACGAGAGGGGGTTGACCAGACCAAGGGGAGAAACATCGAGCTGGAATCGACGATAGATCGCCGATGGGCCCCCCGATAGCAGATCCGCACGCTCTTGGGCGGGGTGGGCTAACTGGGCCTGATAGGCGACGAGTGGGCAATTGGGGGTCAATGCTTCCCTCCCTAAGCCCATTCCCCCCATAACGTTGCCCCTGACACTGCTTGGCACGACTGAGCTGGGCATGCCATGGGTACGATGCCCAACAGCAAAAGCTGTCCAAAACTAGCAGCGGCTGCTGTTGGGCAGGCGGCCCTGTGTCCAAACTCAGCAACGTCCACGGCGACACCGACAGCCAGCCCTGCTCAAATGGACGGGAACTGCTGTCCGTCTCTGTCACCATGCCTTCCACATGGCAGGTTCATGTCGTGACGACCCCACCGTGGGTTTCCGACACCGAGTGAATCGCTAAAACCTTGAACGATCCGCGGCAATCCGATGGCGCAGATCGTTCGATCTCGGCCGATGTGGGGCCGCTGGCGGCGTCCAACTCTGAACGCCCGCGCCGGGGCCGTCGCCGCGTCGCCACGACACGGACCTGCCGTATCCGTCCCGATTGCACCACACTGCTGCTGCTGCTGCTGCTGCTGCTGCTGCTGCGGCGACTGCTTTTTTTGCTCGCGCCCTCCCACGGCCCAGCATGGGAGAAGCGGGTCCCGAGGGGAAACGGGTCCTGGACCCCGGAGGAGGAGGAGGAGGAGGAGGAGGAGGAGGAGGAGGAGGAGGAGGAGGAGGAGGAGGAGGAGGAGGAGGAGGAGGAGGAGGAGGAGGAGGAGGAGGAGGAGGAGGAGGAGGAGGAGGAGGAGGAGGAGGAGGAGGAGGAGGAGGAGGAGGAGGAGGAGGAGGAGGAGGAGGAGGAGGAGGAGGAGGAGGAGGAGGAGGAGGAGGAGGAGGAGGGGGAGGGGGAGGAGAGGGCCCCTCCCCAGGACGGGATCATCCATCCTGTGAATCGTCTCCTGACGGCCGCACGGGGCCCGTGGAGGGCCCCGAGGGCCCGAAGACGGCGAAAACCCCGAGGACCCGTTTCCCTCGGCGCCCTTCTTCCCCCACTCTTTGCCGTCGCTCGGACGCCCCTTTCCAAGGCGCTCTCTTCTCGGTACCGTGCGCGCGATTTTTTGTCCTCCTCCTCGAGGATCCAGGGCGCTCCTCCCCGAGCCCCGACGTCGTGAATCTCATGACTGAAGGGGCCCCAAGACGCACAAATAAATACACACAAATAAAATGATTCCCCATATTTTTCCATATTTTCTGGGTTTCTGTCTTCCCCCCCACTTCCCATATTTTCTTATATTTTCTGGGGAATCGAGGATTAATTGTGTCTGTGTGTTTCTTTTCCTCCTGAATGACGTGGACCCCCAGCGATCTGGACCCACTCCGCGGGACCAGCTTTTCGTCCCGAGCTGTTCTGGGACGTCCCCGGGCGATGGCGAGGGCCCCCAGAGGCCGAAAACGGCGAAGCACCTCCCGTCGCGATGTTTGCCTCCCTCGAGGGGGGGCCCGATGGTCCTCGCCGAGGGAGGGACTCAAAGGCACACGCCCGCTGGCCGTCGCTCGGACGGCCATTCCCTGTGCCTTTGTTCGGTTTCGTGCGTGGCTTTTTCGCCAAATGATCAAGGATGCGCTTCTAACCAGAGATCCGATGCCGTGATTTGTTCAATACGAGGTCTCGGGAAGTCTCGACCCATTCCCCAAGACCGCTTATTCATCCTGAGTCGTGTTTTGACGGTCCAGGGGCCCGGCGAGGGCCGCTAGATGCTGAAAATCGAGAAACACCTCCGTCTTGCTTTTTCCCGGAAAGGGCAAAGGCCCAGGGTTCTCTTTTAGTTTTGTTTCCCCCCGGTTTTGACGGCTGTAGGGCTGGCGAATTTCTTTTGCGATAAATAACGAGGTCGCGTAGGGCCGGCGAATTAAACATTGGGGATGTCCCTAGCGAAACGCTTGTTTTTCAGAATTTGTTGAGGATGTCCCGAGCGAAACGCTGGTTTTGCAGAGTTGGGAATGTCTCGAGCGAAACGCTTGGTTTCAGAATTTGTTGAGGATGTCTCGAGCGACACGCTGGTTTTGCAGAGCCGACCGCGACACGGAAAAGCGCTCCTCATCTTGGGATTTTGACAGGATGTCTCGAGCGAAACGCTTGTTTTTCATAATTTGTTGAGGATGTCTCGAGCGAAACGCTGGTTTTGCAGAGTTGGGGGATGTCTCGAGCGAAACGCTTGCTTTTCAGAATTTGTTGAGGATGTCTCGAGCGAAACGCTGGTTTTGCAGAGTTGGGGTATCTAACATGGCGTCGGGCCCAACGCCGAATTATGAGGAAAAGTGATGGCTTCTTGCTCTGAACAGGGGGGTGCGCTTTGGGGGCCTCTCCAGGGAAGACGTTGTGAGGATGTCTCGAGCGGGAGCGCGAATTCAGCGTATCCAAGTCACGCAGAGGGGTATCTAACATGGCTGTCCCGAGCTGGAACCACGTGTTTTTTCATGCTCAGGCCACCCAGGGAGATCTCTAACATGATTGTCCCGAGCTGGAACCACGTGTTTTACGTGTCCAGGCCACCCAGGGGGTATCTCTCATGGTTGTCCCGAGCTGGCACCGTGTTTTTACGTGTCCAGGCCACCAACACGACGCTTGTCCCCAGCACGTTCTGTAGCGCGTCCCCTTGGCACGTCTCGCGGTGCGTCCCCGTGGCACGTCCCCTGGCACGTCGCCTGGCGCATCCCTTGGAACTTTCGGCGGCGCGTCTTCCTGGCATGTTTCCTTGTCAATTAGCTCTGCGGCAGCTACTGCGTGGACTATGTGCTCAGGCAGCTCGAGCTTAAGATCCAGATCAGTTCGGTCAGGACTCGGATGCCAAGGAGGACTCGATCCACGAATCTATAGAGCACAATCGCGGCATGGCACATCGCAGTTCAGCACGGCGCAGCACAGCACAGCCCTCGGCACATGACATCAAGATCGGTACACTCACTCAGCATTGCAACTTGGCACGTTCTTTGGCACGTTCCGTGGCGCGTCCTGTGGCGAGTCCCCCTGGCACGTCGCGCGGCGCGTCCCCTGGCACGTCCCGTGGCACGTCCATAATGCATTGGCACGTTCCGTAGCGCGTCCCCTTGGCACGTCCCGCGGTGCGTCCCCATGGCACGTCCCCTGGCACGTCGCCTGGCGCGTCCCTTGGAACTTTCGGCGGCGCGTCTTCCTAGCATGCCCCCCGTGAATTAGCTCTGGGGCAGCTACTATGTGCTCAGGCAGCTCGAGCTTAAGATCCAGATCAGTTCGGTTAGGACTCGGATGCAAAGGAGGACTCGATCCACAACGCTATAGAGCACAATCGTCACGTGGCACATCGCAGTTCAGCACGGCGCAGCACAGCACAGCCCGCGGCACGGTACATCAAGATCGATACACTCACTCAGCATTGCAACTTGGCACGTTCTTTGGCACGTTCCGTGGCGCGTCCTGTGGCGAGTCCCCCTGGCACGTCGCGCGGCGCGTCCCCTGGCACGTCCCGTGGCACGTCCATTGGCACGTTCCGTAGCGCGTCCCCTTGGCACGTCCCGCGGTGCGTCCCCGTGGCACGTCCCCTGACACCTCGCTTGGTGCGTCTCTTGGCACGTCCCGTGGCACGTCCATTGGCACATTCCGTAGCGCGTCCCCTTGGCACGTCCCGCGGTGCGTCCCCATGGCACGTCCCCTGGCACGTCGCCTGGCGCGTCCCTTGGGACGTTCTGCGGCGCGTCCTCCTGGCATGTTCCCTTGTCAATCAACTCTGGGGCAGCTACTAGTTATGTGCTTAGGCAGCTCGAGCTTAAGATCCAGATCAGTTCGGTCAGGACTCGGATGCAAAGGAGGACTCGATCCACAACGCTATAGAGCACACTCGTGGCATGGCACATCGCAATTCAG